TATTTTGTGCGCTTATTTGTGTAATAATGAAAGAAAGTAAGGTTGGAGTTACTTTTATTGGCTGGAGTTATTCTAGATGATCATTTTACCTAATTTTTAATACGGAGTATAATTTTTTCTTACGGAGTATTTATTAATAAGAATCAGACAATACAGTCTCTTCAGTCAGAACTTCCAAAATTTCAGCACAATCACCCGATTTAGACGATTCCAATGTTATCAACAGGCTCTGAACTTCACTAGAACAGTGAGAAAATGAATAAAATCAGACCGACTAAACAAAAATCAATAAAACCTTTATCTACTCTTTATAAATAACAAATCCAAACCGAACTAAAATAAACTCAACCCAACCGAATCAAATTATAGTATGCTTTTTATTTGGTAATCATTCATTCGACCCGTATCAAATTGAAACAAAACCCAAAAAAAAGGTAGAATTATGTGGGTTGTCGACCGCTTTTTGTTTTTGTTTTAAAATCTTGCCCACACTAGATTTTTCTTTTTCTCAAATTTATTTATGGCACAAATACTTATCTATATACTCCCTCCGTCCCCTTTTAAATGTTCCGTTTTACCATATTGGGATGTCCCTATTTAATTGTCTCATACCTTATTTGGTAAAATTTGTGTGGCTCAAAATGATTCCTACTTTATTCTTACTTTATCAATTAATATCAAACACACAAACACATTTTTCTTAAAACGCGTGTCACCCTCTTCCGGGATATCTAAAAGGGACAGAGGGAGTACTTCCCTGTATGTTTTAAAACTCGTTTGGACGTTTGGGATCAATCCAAGCATGTTACATTGTTACTAGTTCACGGGTCGTTATGGATTCGATAGGTCCAACGATCCACACTGCTAATATATATTTTTAAGCTTTAACAACACACTCGCACATACAAAAACACAGATAACATTCAAAAATATATTTTAAATTACTTTTTAGGCCAAGAAACCCACTCAGTTATTTTGTTTATACATTTTTAAAACTAGATGAGTAAGAAGTCATATTTTTGAATAACTTATTATTTTAAAAATAATTTTTTTAGTGGATAAAAACTAAAAAGGTGATACGCATTGCATGTTTTTCAGAGACCACATAGCTTCTTAATTGAAGGTAGCATCATGTTTGTGTTCAATGCATTCACCAAATATATTTTTTGTTAGGTCCGGTGAAAAATATCTTAAAGATGAAAAAATAACCTTGAGATCTTGATTTTAGCATTTGGATTTATTAATGAAAAAACTTGAACCTAAATCTACGAATCGAATCTTCCCATAATTCTAAAAATATTGGTTTAGAATTAGGTGTATTGACTGAGTAAGGTTGCAATTGGCTGTTTCACCTCATATGGCGTTCTGATTCATATATGCAATATGCAATATTAGTGTCATATGAAAAATAAAAAAAATGTGATATTTGATATATTTTTTAAAATATTTGGAGAAAAAATGTAAAAGATATACAGTACTGTAACACATTTAAGGAAAAGATGATTTTTTTAACCAATCCTTAGACGCGAGGCTGCGCAATGGTCGTTTCTATTTGTAGCTGCATTCCGGGTTTCGAAGAGAAAGTCGCCAATTCAATTGGGCAATTTTCTTAACCATAGTTGATTCTAGAGTATTTTCGTAAACATTTTTAACTTCGTCAGGATTTCGTAAATATTTTATTTTTTAGCATTAATTTGGAAAAAAACTTTGTCGTTTAGCATAAACGGGATAGAGGAGTGGTAGCGCTTGCACAAGTAGAACATGGATGTTTTCTTTTGGACTGAAATTTGCTGGTCTGGTCTGTCTGGTCTGATTTGGTCTGGTCTGAACTGGTCCGGTCTGATAATCGTCTGGTCTCTGTGTATTTTATAACTACGGAAATCTGGTCTGGTCTGGGACTGAAAACCGTCCAAAAGAAAACATCCAACCCTTGCTCCTAGAGGGATTGATTTCTTCGGGTCTGTTTGCAATCCATTAAAAAAGGTGCTTTTAACTTTTTTTTAAGAAAAAAGCACTTATTTTACCAAACACTACCAACTTTTACTTTCTCGGCTTCTGTGTAGAATCTACTTTTGACTTTTTCTATTACACAAAAAGCACTTATTTTACCAAACACTACCAATTTTTACTACTAATCACTTTTTCTCCAAAAGTGCTTTTATTTAAGCACAAGTGGTTGCAAACAAAGCCTTCTTTTTAAATTTGCACCAAGTCCACGCACGTACTCTTTTGTACGGAGGAGTATGTACCATGTAGTTATGCGAAATTTTGTATGTTTGACGCGTTTCTGAGGTTGCCAAAGACAAGAAGCTCAGTGTAAAAAGTTCAGTATGAATTGGCCTCTTGATGTTTTAGTACGTAAATGTTTTTATATGTCTGTAAAAATGATGAATCAATTGTTGCAAACACATTAACTAGGGCGGAAAGAAATTATATCCCAAAGTACGACTGTCATATCTTACTTGCTAACCGAAATTCAACTCGGTCAATAAATCAAATTTTGTACGTTTTCACTCATGTCTATCAATTTTTCTCTATTATCCAGCATCGTCAATAACTCAATACATTTTTTTTTTAAAATAAATGTGTAAATCCTTACTTTTATTATCACACGTCAATTATGTGACCATTTGTTTTTTACCAATAAGTATCATTTAAAAATTCAAACATTGTGATGTTAAAAAAATAATTCTTTCATAGTATTAAAATATGCACGCTTGAGCTTATTAATTTCAAATAAATTTCAATTTTCAATCAAAATATGTAATACTATATACAGTATTACGTTATTTGCTATGTAGTACGATAGTATGTTACTAACTTACTATTTAATTATTTTTTAATTTTAATAGTTTGTACTTGTTGAATATAAAGATGAAAAAATTGAAACACAACTTTTTGAATTTAAATACTAGCAATAAAATAGTGGAAACACACATAATATATATTGATTATGATAACATAAAAAGAGAAATATTTTAGTGATGAGGTATTAAATTTTAGCACTTGTGATTAAGAAAAACTTTGAGTCTAAAAACCTCCAACAATTATAAGTTAAAATTTTATTTTAATTTTATATATTCAATATTGGTGTCATATGAAAGATAATTAAAAGTTATGAATTTTGATATATTTTGTGCAAAAATTAGAATACAAATAAAAAATAGGATAAAGGGTCAAATAGACACTCGAACTAACTTAAAAAGTGCAATTCACCCCTTATTTAGGAGACTCTGTCCGGCCGTCGCCAATTGGGGCGGTTCCCGGTAGATTTTTTTATGAAATTTTTTTTAGCATCTTCTTCATTAAATCTAGTTTACTCATACCAAATTTAAGCTAAAAATTCAATCCCGAAGGCAGTCAAATGAATTTTTGAAGATAATTGCGCAGTTAAATAGCGCAATACATTTCAGAAAATCATTTGACTTTCTTCTCGATTGAACTTTTATCTGAAATTCGGTATGGATAAACTAGACTTAGGCTATGTTTGGCCTGACAAGCTGAAAAGATCTTTTTTTATCTTTTTAGTAACTGATAGCTTTTTTGAGCTAAAAAGCTCGTAGATGAAAAAGATCGTAGCTGTTTCATGAAAGCTGTCTGTTTTAAATAGTCCCGTTTGGCAAACTAACTATCACAAGTAGCTGAAATTATAAAATTACAATTAAGGGTATGATCAAATATTTTTAATTAATGAAAAAATAGAGGATATGCACGTAGCCAAGTTCAATTTAGAGGAAAATACGAGAGGGTGAGACCAATTTTACCACAATCCAGACTTCAAAAAAGTGACAAAATCAATAGCAAATGTAGCAAAACAGAGCCTAGTTTTAGCAATCTCAATCCGTTAACTTCATTCTATGAAATGCTTACAAATAGTTTTCTGGGAAAAATATAAAACCATGGAACACACTTTTTAAGCATCTTTGTAGAAATATTAAAAATAAGTATACAACAAGGATGAGCATAAACTAATTTTCTACAATCAATATCTTCATATTAGCCATGACAATGAGAAACAGGGGAAATCCCAATAAATCAACAAAAGCAGACCGACAATTTATATAATCGTGTTTATACTACTGAATATGCAAAACAATTTTTTTAATCCAAACACTCACTTTTTATACTCCCAATCTTTTTTTAATACTCCGTACAGTGAATTTAGTTGTTGACTAAAACACCCAATGATGTATTTGTTTCAATCGTAGAATCCAAAAAAATATTTTAATGCCCAAAACAGATTATACTAGCACGAAGTTGGAATTTTACCCAAATTTATCAAGTTTGAGTCCAAATACAAATTTTTGATAATTTTTTATGACTTCAATCCCATCTTGAATAGTATCATATATGCATCCGTAACATCTATTTTTATACAATACAACCAGAGAAAGCAAATTTCAAATGCTACCATTTTTAGATGAACTTTACGAGAGACCGGATGAAGAGTTAGAATTTGCTCTTTTATCTCGAATTCCTTTCCGCCGAACGAGGACTTCACCCGAGCCCAAGCGGTGATAATTGAGAAGAGATAAACTATTGCTTGCTCAAGCCCCCTCTTCTTGATACTTAAACGGAAAGGAATATTGTATGGTGTACTACCTTCGTCCCGTTGAAAAGTTCCCTTGTCAAACGGCATGATTATTTAGAAAAAAAAAAACTTAAATAAGGTAGTTCGAATATATTTTGAGAAATAATTTGAATAAGTATTTAATATAATGATGTTAGTGTTGATAACTATGATATTATAAATGTATTGTTTTTTATATTTAGTAATTAATTTGTTATTTAAGATTATTAATTGTTTCCTAAAATATAAATGAGAACATTTATATGGAACGTCCTAGAAGGGAAAGTTAGAACCTTTCTTTGAGACAGAGGAAGTGCCTAATTGGAGCCGTCTGGGGTACGCGAAGGGGTGGAATGGAAGGAGTGAAGACAAACCAAGTGAAAGCTAAACGGAACGGACGTTTGACAGAGCCGAAACGGAGGGAGGAGGCCAATACCAAAAAGTACAAACAAGTGAACTTATTGTGCAACTCTATTAAGCAATACAAATATACAATTACACCAACACATTTTCGCTGCCAAAAATGTCCTTACACTCATTGGCTTTTGTAATTTTTTTAGTTAATAAAGAAAAGATACATCAATTAAGATTACTGAGAAACCTCTCTTATTCATGACCTGTCATCGCAGTCTCACGGTGAGCCGGATATACTTTTTAAGCAAATTTAGAATACTCTGTAGATATATTCACGTCGAATACTCGGCATTTATCTTCACATAGTCATAACTCAAGTCACACCCCCATGCAACTCCGCTTCCTGGACCATCACCTGTACACATGAGAAGAAAAATGCTAAGTTCAACATATTCAGTGCAAGAACCGCTTTCAAACTTCAACAAAACGAAATGTTTTCTGGAAGACAGAGAGTCACACCTATAGATATGTGAATCTCTACAGTGCCATGAGTATCCCCAGCCTTCCTCATATAATTACTGGCCACAACACTGCAAATACAAATGTTATGGACATTTTAAAGAAAGTGGGAGAAAGGAAAAGGTTGAGAAGCGAACACCCGTGGAGGCCAAAAAAACATTTTGTCTATTCAAGCACTCTAAACCAACACATTGCAACAGTTCTTGACATAACTTATGAAAGCGTTGATCAGCATCTGCTCTACCAGATAAAAACTTTGGCTTCAAGTCACAAATCGCATTTCAAATATTAAATACGACAGAATAGACACATTTCAAGAACCACAGCGCTTCCTACAGTCGTAATTCAAGTACTTTTACAGTATAACAACAACAACAACAATCAAGCCTTAGTCCCAAATAATTTTGGGGTCAGCTTCAAATAATTCCACTTCCCCTTTTAATCGCACATTGTTTGTACTGTAATCAACTTCTCATTTTATTTGTAATACTACTTTTGTTGTTTAGCCCATCCCAAATAGTAATTGCTTACCTGATTCAAACACAAAAAAAAAAAAAAAAAAAAAAAAAAAAAACTTTTTCACTTTTTATAAATTCACCTTCTCACCTTTAAGGGACAAATTTGTAAGTGCAAATACATTTTACAGCCTCTGTCATACTTTTTAAGCCTCATTTCATTTTTGTAATGATAGCAAGAAAAGAAGTGATACGTGATCAACTTTTCACTTGATCATTTAAAGATGGGTGCCTTGTTTTGGTGAGATTTTCAATACAAACACGTACTACTACATCTTTCTCATTTTATAAGTTTATCTTTTCTTTTTTTAGCTCCACAAACTTGCGACAGGGGTACAAGCAATGGATGTACGTCATAGTCCCAGTTTATGACAGTCATTTCACAATCAATATTGTCCATTAAAAAAACTGGTCAAGAAATCAAGTCATTATTGATTCTAATTACCTATCGAATGCAAGAGGTTGCCCAGCATCCATAAGCAGAGTATCACCCAGTGATATTCGAAGTTCATTTGGGTTGAAAGGAATTCCTGCATAGCCAGCAGCACAAGCAATGCGTCCCCAATTTGGATCCCTACCATAAACAGCAGCCTGAAAAGGGGAATTTAAAGAGTGGAAATCAGTGAATGACATGTGGGAACGGGTTCTAGAAATGCAAAATAAACTTCATATTTTTCATGCCTTGGTGAGGGAAGAAGAAGCGACTGAACGTGCAATTTTTGCTGCTTCAGCTTCATCTTTTGCCCCATCAACCCTTACCTGTGAATCAAATTACACCTTAATCAGCATTAAATATAGAAAATTTTGAAGACCATGATACATGCTACCTCTGTGAAACCTTTCCTACAGTTTTTTTTTTTTTGAAAAAACAATAAAAGGCATCAATCAGGGACCTACAAATATTAGTTACGGAATATAAGAAATTTGAGGAGTCAAATGCCCAAACGATAAACAATGTTAATATAATATAAAATCTTACTTAGCTTCCACATCAGATTAGATATTAGTATTATATTCAAAAATTACTGAAATTTAATTTATACAAGTTCACAAAAAAATCATTTATAGTATGAATTGAAAAACAGAGAGGCATTTATAATATATTTAAGCCACCAAAAAAACTTGTTAGCCAATTGCCTGTTGCAGCTGATGTTAAGGATTAATAATGATGCATACTTTTTTGGCATTCAAGGAGCAAATGCAATATTATGGGTAATACATTGAATTTAAAGAATGAAATAAGAACTTTTGTATGGACATTGCACCAAAATTTATTAGAGATTACTATTGTCTTATGCTTCAAAAATCATAGAGTAATGTCGCCTTCATTGATGCTTCACTGTTGCCCAAAGGGAGTAAGCGCTGCGGTTAGCATGACTCATTTATATATAAATATATTTAATTTTGTACGGATTAGTATTTAATATTTCCTAACCTAGGTATTTATTAATTTCTTTAGTATGGTATATCCGCTAACTAGCTACTGCTAGCTCAGATTCTGTTCAAGATTATACTAACAGTTTTAATGTTCAGATTATATTCAAGATTATACTAGCGGTTTTAACGTTTTGAATCTACAAGTGATAGATTCTCATCTTTCAGAAGAAAGATTGATTCCTTTTTTCTTGCAAATACCGAATCATAGTTGAACTATATTTTGGGTCCTGGACTCATAAAAATCCTAGCTGAACCCTCATTCGGGAATAAATACACAGATCCCAGGTGAAAGAGCTTCACAACTTCGCTTTTGTATCATTGAAGACCATGTACGGTTCTAGTGAACCTGGTCATAGAAGACCTTCACAAATTCGCTATTACTTGCTGGGCATACAGTACTACCAGCATCCTTAACAGCTTAGCAGTAAGAGTTTAAACCTCAATCAAACATGTGGCGCCTTCTCCATCCCAAGCTATAGACTTTGCAAGCCCCTGCATTACCTGGAGAATAACCATGTTTGTGATGCATTGTAGTTCAGAGGATTAAAGGAAGAACCAAAGCTTTGCATAAATGCCATCACATGTAATAGTAGGTGTGTGGTTTGCCCGAGTAAAAGGGTAACGAAGGTTGAAGGGGCAAAGTTGTGAAAAAGAATGTAATGGGAACAATGAGTATCAGCTAATTAAAGTAGACAGAACTGCCACTAACTCCAAAATACCAATTCCACATTCGCCGTGTTCTATTCACCTGAAAAAATGTGATATCTTATGAACTTCTTAAGATGTAGTCTGAGCTAAATACTTATGGTCTGTGAATTTCTGGCGCTATGTCATATAATAGTCTTGTCTCATGTTCTTATCTTAAATATAACATCTGGTCAGGTACTCAGGTTTAATATAAATCTTTTAGTTATGGTCCGATTTTATTTGATTTTTTTCCTGGTGTGATCTGATCTAATCAAAATAAGAATACTTAAAAAACACAAAGACTAAAGTTGACAAAACATCACATGATCACATCACAAAGATTTAACGACAACGTGTTAGCCTTGGAGTGCTACTATCATATTTTTTTATGTTAACAAATAATTTCACAAGAGTACAAGATGCAAAGTATGTGTGCCAGGAATGACAGCGACACATACTGGAGAAGATAGTGAGTAGTGACACTCCACAAATACAAGACAAAATCTGTTTAAGGAATGGCAGTTTTTAAATAACACTAGAAAGTTGGACTAAATTGAAAAACATAAAGACTATATTTATGCCTCCTGTTTTGAAATAAAAAGTAGTATTTCCATTCAAAAATGAAAAACTTTTAAAAATGTTGCACTTTGAATTCTTTCATAATTCATATGCTTTTTTCAAATGACGTTCTGGCAGAGATTTACACTTAAATATGCTTAATCTTTTCCATCTGTTATCTAATGGATCATATACATTCTCTTTTTCAACTTATATATATACACACACATACACAAACATATATTGGATCAAATAAAATAAGCCCTTAGATGAGAAATGAGAATGATTCTTGGCAATTGGATTCAATGATGTTGTGCTATCAGACCTTCCCTGTGCACTGTCATATTGCACTAGCGATGTCGTTTTGGTAAATGCCTTGGTTGCACCTTATGTGCACCTTCGTTCCGAAAATCCCGTGTTGCATTAGTCAGAATGGCAGCCTACACCGAAATGCATCATATATGTACCTCCACGGGAAGAGTGATTTCTTCAGATCAAAGGTGCACATATGGTCCATTTCGGTATAGACCGCCTTTGTGACTAGTGCAACACGGGATTTTCAAATGTATTTACGAAAATGTCACCGCTTGTTTAATATGACGGTGCACAAGGAAGCTCTGGTGATGCAACATCATTGAAGTCTACGATCGAGATTCGTTCTCATTTTTCATCTAAAGGCTTCTTGTTACCGGAACCGCACCCTATGCATGTGCTTCGTAGATCAGAAAAAGATAAGAGTGAACTAGGAGGTAGTTACACATACAGCATCAAGACACATCTGTAGGTGGTTTGCCTGTGAGCTGTTCAAAGAAGTGATCTTGCTAGCACCTGAAAGCCCACTAGCCAAAGCAATGACAGCATCATTTGTACTGGTGTCTCCATCTACCTGTGAAGCATATGTATCTGTAAAGTTAAGTATGTGTCTATAGATTTGCAACAATGAAGGATTGAAGGCATACTGACCTAGCAGCTCAGGGTATTTAGACTGAGGGGAATGGGGTATATTTCCATGAACCCCTGGCCCCACAATGAGGTGTGTCGCAGCATAGAATTCCGAGAGGGAAGTTTCTGCAACATAGGCCGAGTGTGCACCGCACACCTCGGCCTTTACCGCCTAAGCCTTGTAGCAGACTAGCAGTGGCATACATTTGAGTCAGATAGGGCATTCTTTCCCCCCTATAAATACCTCTATCCGGATTGTGGAAGGGGTTGAACTCGTGTAATATCAAGGCATTTATATACTTTGCTTTCTCTGTCTAGAAGAGCTTTCACTTCTCTCTAGACCTGGGGTTTCATAATCCATCACCGATGTTGTCTTTTGTATGGTTAGGGAGGTTAATGTTTGGATGCTCCCCATCCTTTCTTTCTTCTCAAATGGTGTCTCTCCAAATTAAGGTTAAATGGAAGGAAATGAGATGACACATTGGCATTCCCCTCAAAAATCATAAAACTTTTATCAATTCAATTTCTTTGTTCTGAAATAATATACTAGTTAGTATAGTAAAACTTACGGTAATTTGGTTAAAACTTCGGCTCACAGAAATTTGTACCATTCTTCTCCAAACTTCACTTGTAACCAAGGCATCAGTAGTAATAACCTGGAATGTATGTGCATATGGAATAGCAAGGGTAAAAAAATAGATATTATCCAAGTTATACAGTTGGTCACTCTGTTTGGAAATCTGGTCCGAGACTGAAATAATTCCAATTTAAATACATCCTTACTCCGTCGTGCATCGTTCTGTATGGAAAAAATTTATCTAAGATTATGTTTGGATGACCATTTCAGCTCTAAGTGAGCTGAAATTGCATAGATCTAGGTAATTAAATGGCAAGTAGCCTTGTTTGGATGAAGAGTTGATTTTGACTCGATCTATAATTAATCACCAGATTTGAAACGTTACTAGTTGTAGTGTTCAGTTCAGCCCTTAGATATGAGTGCATACATAAGAGACAAATAGACTTACGCCAAGCATTGTTGCCATGTTAGGATGAATCATCCCGGAACCCTTTGCCATGCCACCAACTCTTATATGTGCCCCTCCCACCTGATCAGGTACTTAGTGTTAGACCATACCACAGTTTCACCATAAACATTTACAAACCGAAGAAAATCGGAAAACATGTTTACTTCCTTAGTTTCCCAGATTTGGAAAAATGATTAATGTTTCTCCATTTTCCTCTTTACTTCTGAATTTGGAAAATAATTGGTGTTTAACAGACCACCTCCATAATTGGTGTTTAACAGACCACCTCCAGTATTTGAGAACTTAATAGTGAATATCATTCATCGTCTAAGATTAATCAACACTGCTTCATACAAAACATACAGTATATAATTTTCTTATGATTTATGAGGGAATAATGAGATGAAATACCAAAATCATCACCTCAGGTTATTCGCACTTGCATAGGAAATAGGGTGAGATGTAGGCTACAGTCAATGGGTATTAGCTATTAGGAATATATCTGATTGTATATAGAATAATAATGAGATGAAATATCAAAATCATCACCTCAGGTTATTCGCACTTGCATCGGAAATAGGGTGAGATGTAGGCTACAGTCAATGGGTATTAGCTATTAGGAATATATCTGATTGTATATAGAATCCTAACTAACTAAATACTGTTAGCATAGTTACTTTCAGTTAGTTAGGTAGATAGATGCTATTCATTCTATATATACCTTGTAATGAGATACGATCAGTAATAATAATAAATTCATAAATTCATAATTCATTCTTCTAAATACTCTGCTATGTTTCTTAACATAATAACATGGTATCGAGAGCTTGAGTAATATTTCGATCATGACACCATCGTCTTCCATCCACCGGAAATGTTACTTACCCGGTAAGCTTCTTGCATCCTCTTCCTCTCAAACTAAGTTCAAACAATTTCCTGTTTGGAAACGTCAAGTTGAATCAGTCATATGAGCGCACAAACTGCTGAAATTTATTATCGATCCTGACACACCACCTCGATTTCTGAATAGCGGGCATGAAGCCAATGGAATGGTTAATGAAGCATTTGTTTCATGGGAGCAACAGAATCAAATGCTATTTTTGTGACTCCTTTCTTCGCTATCTGAAAATCTTCATGCTCATGTGATTCAATGTACTCGTTCGTATCAACTGTGGGATGAACTTCACAAATTTTTTCAATTAAACATCATTGCGAAGGCGAGGCAACTAAAATCTGAACTTTATTTTACTGTCAAAGGTGAGCGATCTATATCCAAATATCTTCTCAGGATTCAAGCTCATTCTAACTATTCCTGACAGTCTCCTAGTCATTGGCGAGCCAATCTCTGCCAAGGATCATGTGAATGTCATACGCGAAAGCTTACCAGAAGAGTTTGAATTACTTGTTTCATCACTTCTGGCTAAAGAAATGAGGCTTCGTAAACTTCGCGAGTCCTCACAGTTTACATTATTCTCAGCAAATGTTGCTCGTGTTGAAGATCTCACTAAATACTTCTCAGCCACTAATCTCACATGAAAACTCTGCTCAATTTGCTCAATTTAATACTCCAAATCGAGGTGGTAATCAGTTCAGAGGAAGAGGACATAGTACTAGTTCAAGAGGTGGTTTTCGTGGTGGAGGAAGATCAGGTGGGCACACTTCTGTTATTTGTCAAGTCTGTGGCAAAGCAGGACATAATGCTCTAATGTGCTATCATCGATTCAATCCTAGCTATACTTCTCATCACTCTACTGATTCAGGCAGCTGGAACAACGTCCATTTCCCAACTATCATCCATCACCTATGCTTAACCAACCTCATTTTGCACTTATTCCCTCATCACCTATGTTTCAACATCCTCAACCTGCTCCCATTTCTGCAACTACAGAAGCTTCTAATTGGGCTCCACACTTGCATTCCTCACCAGATACTCCTTCTGCTGCTTGGGCTTATGCTAACTCATCAATTCTGGGACCTTGTTGTGAACAGAAAAATAAAAATCAACGGGGTGAACTGTTGCCCAGATAATCAATGATAAATAAATACTGTTGCCCAGAGCCAAAAGGCTAAACCAACTTTTATTCCAAGATGATCCAGAATGAATCCTAACAAGGGGTTTAAATACCCATCTAGTAATAATTAAACCAGGAAACAAAATCCTAGAAATCCTAATCAACTCTAACTAGGAAACAGAATAATAAAGATCCTAATCAACTTTAAATAGGAAACAAATAATAGAGATCCTAATTAACTCCTAATAGGAAACAAATCAGGACAATTAAAAAGAATAAATATTAATTAAACAGCCCGTAACTAGCCCACGGAGGTAGGCTCAAGCCCGTCCCGCCTTCCGTAAACCCACGGGGGCTTCTTCCCCTCTTCTTCCAAGCCCAGATTTTGCTTCATTTCAGACCTGCACCTGATCAGAATTCTCATCAGCCCGGATTTCCAGATTCTGGTGCAACACCGCCAACACATCATGTTACAGCAGATCCTTTGAACATACAGCATCATGATTCTTCTACTATTCCTACTGACAAGCTTTCTATGAGCAATGGTCAAGGTTTGGATATTAAGTCTATTGGCTTTGTGTTGCCAGCTGAAACTGAATATAGAAGCCTAGCTCATACTGCAGCTGAGATTTTATGGTTTCAGTACCACTTCAGGAGATTCAAGTTCCATTTTCTTTTTCTCAAATCTATTGTGATAATCTCAGTACTATCCACCTAGCACATAATCCTGTTTTTCACAAGAAACTTGAAGTTCTACATATTCCTGCTCACTATCAAGTTACTGATGTGCTGACCAAACCACTCTCTACCTCCAGATTTCTTGAGTTGAAGACCAAACTCAGTGTGGTTGAATTTCCAACTAAATCACACTAAGTTAGAGGAGAGAATAATAGGAATATATCTGATTGTATATAGAATACTTAACTAACTGAATACTGTTAGCATTGTTACTTAGTTACTTAAAGTTAGTTAGGTACATAATGGAAAATGCCCATACATCTGGGCTATATTCTGGAAAATGGTCAGGAATGGAGAAAACTGAAGTAAGCAGCTTTTAATGTTTCGTTTTACCTTGAAGAATGTGAAAGAAAATCATATAAGATTAAAGCTTTTTAAAATGTTTACATGTACAGAGTTATTACTCTGTATGTACTAAACATACACAAATAAATGACTTTGAACAAATATCTGGATTTAATTTATCACTTCTTAAATTCACAAAAGTAACATTCCTAAAATTTGTTCCTACCAAATTTCATATCTATGGTGTCCCCTATTTTCTTTCACTAACACTTTCTTTGGAACCGAACCTTAAGATGCATACGAGCAGAAAACACCCAAACAGCTTGGCAAACATCTGAGCAGGAACTAAATGAAATTATGAATATAAAGGATATAATATAAGATTAAATACCTCAGACTCAATTGCCACACTCTTGCTGACAAGATCAGTAGTAGTTATTGCTACAGCAGCTGAATTTGCCCTTAATGAAGAGGAAGAGAAGCACTTTCAGTACATCAAGAGAAACTGAATCTCAGATATGAAAAGGACACATACACAAATTAACAATAACAAAATGAGGAGGACACAGCACAGGAAACAAGGAATGAAAAAAACAAGGAATAAGCAAAGTACCCATCAACACTTGATGACAGCAGACCAACTAGCTTTGGGAGTGAGCTGAGAAGAGCCTCCTACATATTACATAAGGCTTACATCAAAATTCTTTCGATCAAACTCAATTTATCAAAGAAGTAAATGTAAAGTTTTCACTGTCCACTAGCATACTCCATCCGTCCCATAGAGTAGGATGCATTTGATTTTTGGCATGCTTTTCAAAAATTATAGGTAATGTTGGTCAGTTTACCAGTAAGCCTTTTCGGAAAAAGGAGAAAGAAAGGGTTGGCACATTGAAATGATAGAAGGGTAAATTTAGAAAAATAAAAGGTAAACGTGTTTAAATAAAGATAGTTAGCAACAACTTAGCATCATTTTGGGACGTAATGAAAAGGATAGTAGATCTTACATAATTGGACAGAAAGGTTAGTTTTCAACTAATCCATAAAAGATTTAAGCACTCACCTTCTTTATTCTTTTACCAATGACCCCAGTGGATTCAATTAACACTTCCTCATTCTTCAGGTTAAGTAACTGTCAACTCAAAGATTTCCATTAGATGCCAGACTTTCTTATTCAGATGAGTTATAAGAACTCTCATTTGTTAAAAAAGCACTTACATTAGCTAAAGCAGTTGAGCAATCAATTACATCCTGGAAACCTGCATCACCCTGCAAACAATTTTTGGAAATCTTAGCTACATATCAACCAACAGTCCTATATAAAATGTAGGAGGATGAGAAAAATTGCTAAGAATGAGAAGATAAGCACATATCACTGATGTAACAATAGGAACACTTGAACCAGACATAAAACAAGTTGGAAAAACAATTACCGTGGCTGCATTAGCTTGACCAGCATTTATTAAAACTGCACGGGCCTGAAAGTACAAACTTGCGCAATGGTGTAAGCATGTTCCATGTTCTTTTATAAATGCAAATATTGGATAAATTAAGTCAACTCCATTGTAGGATTTATTAATATAATAAAATAAAAAACTTGCGCTTTTTTGCATACTAGTAAAGGAAAATGGGACAGAAATCAACAGCCACCAAAAGATTAAATTTTTTTCATATATACCCCTCCCTGCCTTCAAACATTTACAAACATACCGTTGCCGATGAATTTAATGCATTTTTGCAATATACTACCGGTGCAGCTGCTACCACATTTGTAGTAAACGCTCCTACATTCCATGGTTTCATGACAATGAAGACATTATCAGATCTTTAAAAATTATAATCAGACTTCTTAAGAAAACATATACTTTCTGATATGTACCAATGGGACATAAAGCAAATAACTTTCTGTCAGGAAAAAGGAAAAGGAAAAAAACCATGTGAACACAACCTGCAGAAATGGCATCTACATCACAAGTGACAAGTGCTAAGTCAGGCTTCTCTCCAAGTGCACGCAATCCACCGTACATTCCAGCAGCTTTGAACCCAGCTGCAGCAGTAACACCTCCAGGGATCTACAAAATTTAGGTAATGCGGATTCAAACCAAATTTAAATAGTTAGTAATTACATGGTGTTTTATAGGTAAAGCCCGAATTTAATTGGTTTAAGCTCTCTTCTGTTTTATATGGTTTGTAAACAATGATTCTGAACTAAAACCAAATAACATCGGGCATAGACTAAATCAGTTCGGCTAGGTTCGGCATCACCGAAATACCCACCTTCACCCCCACATGGAACATGTCTTAATGATCACCAAATTACTTGATTTTGTAACCTTGAAAAGTACTCTCTACTTATATAACTCAACAATCATAAAATGAATCACCTTTATGCAGAGTTGATTACCTGCTGCCATGGCCCTTCAGGAAGGAAAATCGGAGCAGCTGAAATGTAATTGGATGCCTCTTTTGCAACTGAGGCAGCAACTGACATGGTCCTTCTTCCCTGGCCCGGGATCCAATATCTCTGCAATTCAAAACTTCGCTTTTACACTTCCAAGCCATTTTCTTCAATAACGAAAAGAATAAGAACATAAACCAAATCAAACTAGTAAACTACCCAACCATAGATTCCACCGCAGTAACAATGCAATATATGAAATATACGGAATTTCAAAAAAAGATGTAACCTTTGGAGTATTGAGTTCCACGAAACTTAGAGAAACAAAGTGGGGAGTGCACGTCAACATTATAAGACTTTTTTTGCTGGAGGCTTAGGTGAAGGAAAGGCAAATTTTCTGTATCTCAAAATACAAAAGGTTAGAAATTATGTTCCCATATCTTCAGTATCGTCGGTGAAAGCCGCCACAAATTCTTCAATATATCCCACGAATTCTTACTTTGTAGGATGAAGAAAAACCTGGAATGTGATGATGCAGCCTATTGCGTACTTCCAATGACAGTGTGACTAGATGCAAGAAGTCAATGGAGGAACATGCTGCAAGAAGTCAAATGACCACGGTAATTCGGTAAGTACAAATAAAAAGATTATAGTTACTTTTTTTACACCAAGATTATACGTAGTAGATTATAGTTACTTGGTGTGTACATATTTGTACGCTTGTTTGTGTATAGAAACAAATTCTGCAGGTAACGGCACAGAAAGACTCGGCGTTCAGGCGAGCCGCCAGGTGGTGTGGTACGTGGTTGTTCGCAATTTGACTTTAAGAATATAGGGCTCGTTCGGAAAGAATGTCGGATTAGTAGGCTGATTGATAGAGAATGTATTCCATTTATTTCAATTTATTTTGTTTGTGTTTGGACAGGAGAGAAGGAATTTGATACGGAGGATAAGTCTGGTCCGGGACAGAGTCCAACTAAAAACATTCGTAATTTATGAACTTTTTACTTAGTTATTATTAAAATAAAGTCAATTTTTAAAAATGTGATCATTATTAGAAGTTGAGAGATCCTTTTTTCTTGGTGATTTTTTCTCACTGAGTTTCCTCCACGAGTAATCATCCTCGGGATCATCCACACCATCACATCATGTGAGACCCATGAACTATTGGTACTTAGCCCAACGACAACAACTCCTACGGTCTTAAACACATTTGACCATTAGGTGTGGGGGACTAGCCCTTGACCTCTTCCTCCATATAAGCAAAACATGGAAAAATGCAAACTTCAAAATTAGAACATTCAAGTATTCCCTTTTGCCTCAACCTATGTTGCACGGATACGGATACACCGATACGCGAATACAAGTACGGCGATACGACAACTTCAAAAGTTATAGGATACGAGTACGCAGTATATATATAAATAATAAAAATATAGGGTTTAATTTGAAAATATATATATATATATATATATATATATATAGCTCAGAGGTTCATAAATAAAATACCAAAAATTAACAATTATAGTAGAATTTCAAAAATTAGACTAAAAAACTAAACTTCTACTATTTTGATTTAAATTTAAATAATATTTTTAAATCTTTATTTGCATTGCATCCAAGTCTTTTAACAAGACTGATTTTAATTAAAGGTCATCCACGGACAAATTGACAAATTATAATATTTCAATATTTTCCATACTCCCAAAACCGTCTTTACTAATGGTCCACATCTTGTGGTCGTTTTGGTGGTTACTAAATTTTCATCATGTCGTGTATGAAATCATGATTATAAGGTTAGATACGCGTATCGGTTCACGGATAATGGTATCAGAAGTATCTATATTTTTTAAAATAAGACCAATACTTTCATTAAATTACGGATACGGACCCAATAAGTACAAGACGTGTATCAGTGAGTATCGATATCGGATAAGTATTGAATACGCGGATACGACATCAGGGTGAAGTATTGGTGCACCATAGGCCTCAACTACCTCTCGACAATGAGAGTGGTGGACTCCTGATATAGTATATGGTCTAGGACCCCCTAACCCACATACAAATACAATTCATATACGGGCTCTCGACATGACCCCTGGTGGAACCCCTCGGCATGCCCTCAGCATGACCTTAGGTGGAACCGTGGAACCCATTGGCAGGCCCTCGGCGAGCCATTGGATTTCATGTCGCCTATATATACTCCCATTTGGGAGCTTTGTAATACTCCGTAATATGAATTCTCACTTTTACTCTCTAGCTTTCACTTCAATTGTTACCTATATACTCTCAATGAAAGCACCATTTAATGGATAAATGCTACCCATATTGTATAATTTAGGAGAGATTGAGACAAGATAGAATGAGATGAAAGTGTGAATATCGATTGAGTGATTAGTTAGGGTTACAATGCCTCTCATAAGGAGTATATATATAAAATATAGCGGATCAGACAGCTAATATGGGCCCGATAAGCGCAACTAATTAAAATGCTAACCTAGTATATACAATGGATGTGTAAATTGAACAGTAATATAAATGTTGTATGTTGGGTGTACATGAGACGTTGTCCAAGCCCAAAAGTTGGCAGACCGAAGAGTCATAGTACATATACTCTATCACACTTCTTTCTACAATAATATATACTACTAGTGTGGTATCCCGATATCACTACCAATCAGTAATATTTAGGGGGGAAACTTCATTATGCAAATAACAAGAATATGTATACAGATATAATTAAAAAAACATACTATCTTCATCCCACTTAAAGGCTGCTATGTGATTTACGATATTTGATTTATCATAAAGTTAAGTGACATTTGTCAATATGTAGATAAAAGTTACATTTTTAGAAATTAAATTAAAAGTTTTATAAACTTGGAAGATGATAAAATTTGATAATTTTGATAAAAGTTTTATCATAAAGTTAACTGACATTTGTCAATGTGTAGATAAAAGTTACATATTTAGAAATTACATTAAAAAATTTACAACTAATTTGTTTTCAATTACTACCGCGGAGTATATAATTTGAAAACAAACTAGCTATGGAACGTATAATTTGAAAACAAACTAGCTATAGATCCTTATCAATTTTAGGAAGGGATTTACAATTAGGAGTATATAATTTGAAATTATAATATAAACAACTTTTAATTAAAAGCAAAAAGAAATTTAAAATGTGGTAAAATATAAGCAACAAATAGATTTTCCCCTAAAAATTGGCTTAAATTTGTGTCAATATTGTAAACTGGTCCCTACCTAGCCACATTTTATCCACAGAACGCCTAATCTCCTCCCACTTCTTCCCATGACCAAATAATTTCCTATCTGGTTCTTCTTCTCTTCTTCTTTTTCCAAAAGAAACCCTCAAGATTCAAAGGAAAATGTCAGTAGCATCATCATCATCATCATCAATCTCATCCATCAAAATCCCAAACCCATCATCGCCCCCGCCTTCTTCCTCTTTCGCTTTGATGCGGTTCTCTAAGGCCAGACCCATAATACTTACAGTAAGGAGCTCTCAAGCTGAAGGCCCTTTAAGAAGGCCTGGGGCTCCTACGCCTGTAAATCCAGCCCCACCCTCCCCGCCGCCATCTCATCCGAGCTCTCCTCCCACGCCAGGGGCTGTGGAGGGAAAGAGTGTAATTACCATCGAGTTTCAGAGGCAAAAGGCTAAGGAGTTGCAAGAATATTTCAAACAGAGAAGGGCTGAACAACTAAACCAAGGCCCTTTCTTTGGTTTTAATGCTAAGAATGAAATTTCCAATGGCAGGTACTCTAAAAAATTCTCTCCTTTGAGATTCCATACAAGTTTGCATTGGACAGTTTTATGAAGAGTTTGGATTAGGAAGTGAAGAAGATTGATTAAAATCTGTCTATATTATGCTTCAATGTTTCTTAACTAAAAAGTAATGTAATTTTAATTAAGAAGATGGAAGGGTGATATAGTGTTTACATATAGTTTTGATAAAATTGCACTTTAAGGATTGTTTGTTAGCTGAAAAGAACAATAAATAAGTAAATATCAACAAATATATGACACTCATAGATCATAGTGTTACTTTAATTGAAGTATTTATTAGTGACCACAATACTTTAATTTAACTATTTACCCGTAAATATCAACTATAGTTTTGACAGTATAGTGAGTTACTGACCACACTGATGTTTAATTTAAGTATTTAACAGTGCACTGATCATGAGGATGTTTTAAAGGGCTTTAGTATTGTGACTGTGTAGTCATATTTTGTCAATAAATTGTGTTATAGTAAAATAAAAGAAAAATGAGTCCTAAAGAATAACCAGGGAGTGGAATTAAAACCCCCACAAGAGAAGAATAAACATGGGAAAATATATAAGAACTATCCAGGATTTGGAATTACATCAAGTACATCCCTACTTTATCAAAAATAGGCAATTACATTCATGAACTTTAGGAATATATCAAAAATCCAAACCGTCTATAAAAGTCAGGATTGATCATCATTGGCTTATTAAAATACTGAATTACTCTTGTTAGCAAAGCATTAGAATTTAATAAAGTCAAATATATTGGTTGCCAAAAAAATGTCAAATATATTGTGAAATAGGTGTATGAAAATGTCAAGTATAATAATACTTCCTTCATCCCAAATTTGTTTCTCTTTCCCTATTCATACACTCACTTAGATTCTTTTTTATTATTTAATTTTCATATCTAAACTTTCACATTTGAATTCAGTATTTGAAGTTCATTAGGTGACGTATTATAGTATTTAAATATACAAATGTTAATTATTAAGGAGTTAGTATTCATTAAAATATTATTGGAGGAGAGTTAACTGTAATTTCAGCTAACCCTCGTAATCCAAAATGAGATAAACAAATTGAGACTGAGATGGTAATACAATAAGTAAATAACTAAACAAAAATGTTTAAAAAGTTCTACTTTGTAAACTTTTATGATACAATGTTTTTAGCATATACGCTTTAAATCACGCACATGTTCAGGTCGGTGCATGTCATCTGATTCTTATCTACAATATACAAAATATTACGGAGTATAAAATTCAACATTGAGCAATATAGTAAATTCAAATTTTCAAATAATTAATACTTTCATATACAACATATGAGTACACAAATAATTTATATTCAAATTTTCACTGATAATCAAATTTATATTCTCGCTTATTTGGAATTTTGCATGTATGCATCTATAGGAATCACAAAGAGTAAAAATGATAATTTATTTCACTTTTATTTAACCTTAATTCAAATTGAACTGAATAATTTAACAAAGAGTAGTAAATTTTAACTTTTATTTACTTGCGTAGTTATGTTATTATTGTTTTTATTATTCGACGTTAGTATTTCTTAAAGTTACATGTGATTTCAATATAATATAATGTTTTGTCCATTAGGTTTGGAATTATTAAGTCAAGGATGGTGAGTTCAAATTGTTACCTAGCAGTAGTTTTTTGTCTTTATAGAAGAGTAGGATGGAACTGTTATTACGAAGTGTCAAACCTTAGAGAGGTCATTGATATTTTCCAGTAAACAATGATTCGTAGTTGTGTACTTATCTTGATATGAATATAATGAATTGGAATAACCAAGTAAGCAAGGCCTTTGGATTGACATGAAAAAGCACAACCATCACACAATTATGGTAACTTTGTCCATTCATTCCTCCCTCTGCTCTCCCAATTGGCATGAAGTATTTATTCATATAATGTGGGCAAGGAACATTTTTCCCAAGGAGAATTTTATATTCTTTACCAAACATAGGAATATGTTAGGTTTAGGAATAAACATGGGAAGGAATAAACATTCCATGTACGGATGTACCAAACATGGGATTAATTCGTCTTATATGTGTAGCTTGTGTGCACTTTCATCCTCTTCTATTTGGTCCTGATTTGATGTGATTGCAATTTCAAAACAAGCATATTCCACTCATAAACACTTCCTTTGCTGACCCCTCTCACTCCCAGCACAATGGGCATTACAAATCTACCCCTCAGAGATCATAACATGTTTTTCAAGGTATTAGGTGGATGGCTTGCTTTGCAACTTAAGATGTTTTTACTTGGACTGTAATCTGTCCCAGATTAGATCAGACCAGAACAGAACATAAAAGACTAGACCAGACCAGACCAGACTTGGATAGTTATAAAAATACAAAGAGACCAGACCAGTTCAGACCAAACCAGCAAATTACAGTCCAAGTATAAACATCCTTACCTATAAACTCTATCTTTTCTTATCTTATGGTGGGCTTCTGGATTATTTTGACTGACCAATCCCATGGGCATAAAATTTGGAAACTGTGATCTCTGTGTAAAATTTGTATAACTTGAAGTTAACATTCCAACGACATAAAAATGGTTCAAATTGATAATCCTAAATTACATATGATCAAAAGTCAAAAGTACAACTCGATGTCATTTTAATTCTACATCGTTGTTTTCAGATATTTTGGTTAAATAAAGACAACTCCTTTAATATTTGGAAATTATTGTCTTAAAAAAATCTGAACATGAGTTTAGATCTCCAATGACACAAAAAAAGCCCTACAAAGCATTATTATTTGGTGGTGCACAATTAATTAATATATTGACTGGTTTAGTTTTCGCCTTCTTGTTTTGGTGTATTCTTACCCCTAAGCACATCCTCATAAATGCAATAACATCATGCTTTGGATGTGCAGATGGGCAATGTTTGGATTTGCTGTAGGAATGTTAACGGAGTATGCCACTGGCTCCGACTTTGTTGATCAAGTGAAGATCCTTCTCTCAAATTTTGGAATACTAGACTTGGAATGAGGCTGGCTGTCAATACTCAGAGTTGTTCATCTGCAATACTTTCATTGTTTCATGTATTCTATCGCTGTAGTCATTCATTTGTTGTAGCTTCACTTCAACACGCCTTTTCAGCTCTAAAAAGGCACACAAACTGTATTTTGTTTGACAAAACTGTAATTTACAATTGTGGCTCATCGTTTTCATGTCCCAGCAGCGCTTTAGATAAGCTTCAGATGGTTGACAAAGTAGGCACCTTATGTGGGATTAGGCGAAACATATGCAGGATTATGTGCCGTGAATTCGGGAAAAGGGGAACCTTAGCTGAGTTAGCTCCTAGAGGGATATTTTAGGAAAAATGTGACTAGCTTTGCTTATGATGAGGTTAGCCCTCTAGGGAATGATGGACCCAAATTTGACCTTGAGTATTACCTCATTAAGTCATTAGTCGCACATTGCAAGTGAAATCCAACTCTATACTCTATAGAAATGTAAAAAAAGTCTCAGAGTCACATTAAGTTGCAGTAGTGATATTTTCACTCAAAATGCTTGGAATGTCATGGTTATTGACTATGAAATTGAGAAACGTAATTTCAATCAAAAAGCACAAAAGTCTTTCAAGAACATAATTTCCAATAGTCCAATACTACATTACTAGGTAAAATACATGGTGCAGCCGGCTGTACCGTGCGCACGGTACAGTCGGACTTAATTGGATCTGCGCTTCTTCAATCTGCACGGCTCACCAGGTTTCTACGCTCCAACATCGCACAAAGCTTCGCTCCAGACTTCTTCGATTTCGTTTTCTTCTTCAATCCGACTTCGCATCAGGCTCACCGTCATCGCTGTTCATCCCCTTCTCCTTCAGTTCGCTGCTTGTGGCCGCCTCTCACCAGTCACCTCTTCTCCTCCGGCACAAACGCAGCGGCAGCGACTTCGGCTCCGGCTCCTGCATAATTACCTCTCCTCCTCTGCCTTTCTTTCCTCTCTTTCTTTTTCTCTATATATCTAACGTAGTTTTGCTATTTGAACTTTTGATTTTGGGAAATAAAGGGAGTCTAATTCATTGTTGAGGAATCATTGCAGCTATTGATCTCAAATGAGTTTTATATCAAACTCAAATGAGTATACACCTAAAAGAAATGAACTCACACAAATTAATATTGAACACATTGAAAATGAGTTTTTGTTAAACGAAAATGAGTATAGCGCCCAAAATGAATGAGCATACACAAAATGAGCTTCTGAACATTTTTATACTCATTTTGTATGTTATGTATACTCATTTGGTATTAGTGCAATACTCATTTTAAAATGTCATATTCATACATATTTCGAAATGAGTTATATGTTAAACTCAAATGAGTATTGTGCCCAAAATGAATGAATACACAAAAATGAGTTTTTAATATTTTGATACTCATTTTGTAAATTATGTGTGCTCATTTGGTATTGTTTTATGATCATTTTAAAATGGATGCACATATCAAATATAACGCCCAAAATCAATGAGCATACACAAATAAAGTTTTGAATTTTTTATGCTCATTTTATAAATAGTGTATGCTCATTTGGTACTACTTTATGCTCATTTTAAAATGATGCACATATCAAACATATCATACTACATTAGATTCACATATTGAAATTAATTATAAACATAATTTAAGAATTTTTTATAAATGAAAAAATAATAAAAAGAAACCGAAATAGAAAATATGAAGCAGAGATCACTGGTGCTCATTGTTAGGCTCATAATACTCAGAAGAACATGCTCGATAATCATCAAAATTACATCAATGCTCATTTACGAGAAACCACGAACTTCATCAAAATTACAAAATTGCCACCGGCTGTACGGTGTCAGCCGTACAGCCGGCTGTATGGTATACGCTTCCACATTACTACGGACTACGGAGTATAAAATTGTAAAAAAACATAACAAAGTCCTATAGAACAACATAAAGTTGTAGCGGTGATTTGTTTTACTCAGAATGTTGGAATGTCAAGGTTATTGACTATGAATTCGATAAACTTAATTTCAATAACAAAGCAAAAGAGTCTTTCGAGAAAGTGATGAATAAGTGTCTTACAAGTAGTTTTTGTAATTTAAGCATGTTGAGTGATTTTCTTTTATGCGAGCCAAGTTAATAATTTTTTGGGACGAAGAGAGTATTATGAATTGAATAAGTACTATTCATTTTCAGGTCGAACCAAAATTCAACTTTTTTAATTGCGAGTATTTTTCGTACAATCTTATGCTTTAAGATTTCATCTACCGATTCATTCAAAAATGTGGTTGTAATAAATTTATTTATGAACTACTACGTATGAGTAATATTTGAAATTCCATTGTTCGGTTCATCGATAAAAGACGGATTTATTCTGATGTTCAGTAAGCATGATAATAAAGAGAATAATAAGGGCCTGTTTACTAACAGAAATATTTTCCAGTTTTCCAGAAAACTGGAAAACTGGAAAACAGAAAATAGGAAACGTGTTTACCAAAGAAATTCCTGGAAAACTTGAGAAAGGAAAAAAGAAAAACGCGTTTACCAAATCGTTTTCCAAAACGGAAAAAATGAAACATGTCTCTCTTTTCCTTAATGATTTGGAGAAGTGACTTTTATGATAGTATTAGTTTTCCAAATTTGGAAAACGCAGATGCTACAGTGCATTTGCAATGAATTTGCATACTTACACCTAGTGGTGGGTCCGGTCCCGCTCCGATGTCGATTCCATTCCGGTACCTCCATCCTCGTACCTTACCCCTTACCCCTACCCTACCCTACCCACCAAACCCCCACCCCGCGTACCCATTTTTCCCTATAATGACCTTACCCCACCCCCCACCACATGCCCCGACCTCGGCCCCACACCGATCCACCCTACCCTACTGCCACCCCCCTACCACCTCGACCCCACCTCGATCCACCCTACCCTACTGCCACCCCCCTACCACCTCGACCCCGACCCACCCTACCCTACCCCCACCCCTTGTATATTACCACTTACCCCTACCTTACCCCTACCCTACCACATGCCTCCTACCTCGGTTCCACCCCACCGCCATCCTACCCCCACCCTCGTATCGCCATCCTACCCCCACCCTCGTATCGCCATCCTACCCCCACCTCCACCCTACCATACCTCGGCCCCACCCGGATCCCAGGCCCACCCTACCGTCATCCTATCCCAACTCCCTACCCTACCCCTGCCTTACCCCAAACCCTACCCACTACCCCCACCCTTACCGCCATCCTACCCCCCACCCTACCCTGGCCCCACCCTGGTCCCGACCCCACCCTACCGCCATCCTATCCCAACTCCCTACCCTACCCCTACCTTACCCCAACCCCAAACCCTACCCACTACCCCCACCCTACCCCTTCCCTACTCCGGCCCCACCCTGGTCCCGACCCCACCCTGCCGACATCCTATCCCAACTCCCTACCCTACCCCTACCTTACCCCCAACCCTACCTACTACCCCACCCTTAACCCTAACCACGACCCTAACCCACCCACTACCCCCACCCAACCCCCTACCCCTAGACCTTACCACCCCACCCCGACCATACCCCTTACCCCACCCCACCCATAACTTCCCTACCCCGACCCCTACGAGTAGGTATGGGTGGGTATGAAGGGTTGTGGTGGAGTATGGGTAGAGTGTAAGATCGTGGTAAGGGTAGAGGTAGGGGTCAAGGGTGTGGAATTGGGGAACTGTGTGAAAAAAATGATGAACATGTTTTCAAATTTGAAAATGGAAAACTAAAAAATAGAAACAGAAAATTGGAGATAGAAAAACTGAAAAATAAAAACAGAAAATTAGAGAACGAAAAACAGAAGTAGGAAACAGGAAAATATCTCTGTTAGTAAACAGGCCCTAATTGTTCCAATGTCTGCTGCCATTTGGACAGCACCAACTACCAAGGTTAGGTGAACCGGAGAGAATGATTTCCTAACCGGTTTTACTTATAGTCATCCTGAATCACCAAGAACTTTTCATCTTCACCCGTTACTTAGAAGAGATTTACTGTAATTTAAAGGCTATGAAAAGTATAACAAAAAATTGGTAGTTTTTTAAAATACAAATCTTAAAAAGTAAAATTTGAAGTATTTGAAGCGGTTTTAACTTTTAAGCACTCTCTTCCTGCTGCTTTCAAGTTTCAACATTAGTTCAAGACTTCGAGTGCTTAAGCAGAAGCAGCAACTTAAAAAACACTTTCCTAGTTTTTAAACAAGAAACAGAATATTGCTTATAAAAAGCTCTTGCAAACACTTACTAAAAGAAAAGAAATTGATTCATCTCATCATGTAGAAAATGAGTACCTCGAGAATGGGGGCAAAAATGACAAGCATATACTTCGTATATGTAATAATAACAATGAAAGAACAATGATATTCTGGAAATGCTAAATTTGACAATAAAGAAACTGGATATCAACAGACAAAACAGATGACAAACAAAAAAACATTCTGAATGGATGGCCATTGTATGCATTCTGAGACTTCCTTCCCAGTGGTGGGAGTCAAATTCCATCTACATCAAGTGATGATGGCTGAACAAAGGGCATAGATAATCAACCTTTTAATGCATGGGCCTGCGTGCTCTGTCTGACCTTCCAAAACAGCTCTGGCGAAACCACCACGACCACAAGCTTAAAAACTACATAATCTTGCATGAGCAAGTCTTACCATTGCGGCTATCACAGTCGTCATCTGATTCTTCATCACTGCAAACACCAACAACGAATCAGGATGGAAATATTTACAAATTGTTCACTAACAAGGGTAGCGTGCATAATTACAAAAAGAAACTAGTAATCCATACAAAAAAAAGAAAGGAACTATAAAAAGTACGATGTCAGGCATAATGGTTGCCATAATAACTTGGATAGTGATACAGGGAAAGCCAGCTCGGGGAAGGTTCAAATAATGATAAAGTCTATTTCAAATTTACCATCAACTGGTTCCACCTACTTTATTCACTTGGAGGTAATTTTGGAATAATCTTACCATTCTCTAAAACATTCCCTAATCCTGCCCAACATATATCATAAACCTTTAGGCTTTAGCTTGAGGGTTACAAAAGATTTAAAACTACGTATGAGGTGACATGCCAGCTCGGGGAAGGTTCAATACAGGCATAATGGTTGCCATAATAACTTGGATAGTGATACAGGCAGAGCCAACTCGGGGAAGGTTCAAATAATGATAAAATCTATTTCAAATTTACCATCAAGTGGTTCCACCTACTTTATTCACCTGGAGGTAATTTTGGAATAATCTTACCATTCTCTGAAACATTCCCTAATCCTGCCCAACATATATCATAAACCTTTAGCTTGAGGGTTACAAAAGATGTAAAACTGCGTACGAGGTGACATGCCATAACATGTGCATTAAAATTCAAATTCATAGATTAAGCACATTCAAGTTATAAGCATGAATACACAAAGCAATAGATAAACCTTTCCTGTTGCATACTTTTATAGGGACAAAACATTTGCTAATAGCAACTAAATCTCAAACGCTGAAAGTGCTCAGTTAGCAAAAAGACACAGGGCACTAAATTAGATGAATTGGTGGCACAGCTGAATCATGAAAATTTGATTCAAACACATAGAAATATAAAACTAGAAATAATGACACACAACCTCTGAGTTTAGAAATCTTATTAGGGTTCCAGTAACTAACTAAAGCTAGACCAAATACAAACCGGTGTATTAGTTATTTAAAACAGTTGATTCCTCGCTCATCAGATACTAAGCCAAAAAAAATATAAAAAAGGTGAAAGCTAACTAGTATTTCAGCACAGAACAAGACTGTCAAAACGCACCTAGTTTCAAACTCTCGGATCAGATACTAAGCCAAAAAATAAAAAGGTGAAAGCTAACTAGTATTTCAGTGCAGAACAAGACTGTCAAAACGCACCTAGTTTCAAACTCTCGGATCTCAAAAAGCTCTCCACCGTGTGTATCTGTCCAATGGACCTTCCTTCTTTGCGTATTATCGTCAGGGATGTCATTGCTTCCTTCACTTAATGTCTTACAATCACTGTCACTACCAACTTGAACATCTATGCCATTAGGCACTCTCTTTAAGCTGCTCTTAAGTACAAGCTTAGTTGATGTGTTTGTCTCTTCAACAGCATGAATGTCCTCACACTTCTCAGATATTGGGCCAGGTCCTGTTGGTGATACTTCTTGGTGTTGCGTGGAACCTACCTTTAGGCAAGAAGGGCTGCTATCGAGTCCAGAGGAAGCACGACCGAAACAGATAAAGGGAGCACACCCCGGAAGAAGCTTTCTGTTTTTCTTGGAAGCCAGTGCAAGATGAGTATCAGTTTTTCCGTGATTCGCCAATTGGTATTGGGTCCACGGGGTAACTTTGATGGGCTTCTCTTCACTATTCTGGCCCAACAGAAGAAGGGATATGCATGAGCTATACCCAGAAGCTGAAGAAGAGAAAAGACCCCCACCTTCTATTGCTAATAACATCAGTTCTTCTTCTCATCTGTTCAGCATGCAAAATTTTGTTGGGTAATGAATTAGATTCTTCTCACCTCCAAAACTAGCCCCCTGCTCCAGCTGGTAGTGTACTAGCGTCCAATAGGACACTCACAAAGATGCTATAAACAACCAAAAACACAAATCAGAAACAACAATGGTTATCCAATATAAAATAGAGTATTAAGAAGTCCCCCCCCCCCCTCCGCCCACTATTGGATGTCCACAAAACTTTTCCATCCTTTTGAAGAAACAATTTTGTCATTAGCCTTATTTATCTTTCCCCTACATAGACCTGAGAGGCTGAAACACACGCTTTTTATTTCCATATTCCTCGTGCCACTCAAATTTGGCCAATTATTATGGGACGGAGGGAGTACTACTTAAGGTTGTCCAATTGACCTAAAAATTGGCTTGGTGAAGCCTAAAAGTGCTCTTAATAGAAATGTCACTTCTTAGGATTTGCAATTAACTGATCTAATCAACCATAACTCAATAAGATTAAGGAAAACAACTGAAGGGTCACCAAATTTCCCTATATATTGTTAAATTAAAGTCACTGACATTCAAGATCAGTCCCATACATTCACCTCGCCCAAGTAAACAAAACGAATATGAAGAAAACGAGTGTGGCTGTTGACTTAATTGATTCATCATACGAAATTTCTAATCACAAAACTTGGACAAAATGCAAATTTGAGAAGGTAAGAGAAACAGCAATGGCATTCAAAAACGTTATATAATTACAGCTGTCATGAAGACAAGAAAGAAGAGACTACCAGATCTCAGGGAACAGGTGCACAACGTGACTTCACCAGAAGGATGAGTCCAGCTCCGATCGCTAGAAACCGTGAAGATAACACCGACTAGGGGCTATATAGGTGGACCAAGTGGGGGTTGGGCAGAGATCCACTCTCAGAGAAAGGATACAAAGATTCGATGTAGAGGAAAACGTTTGCTAAAAATGGCGTGTTATTTGGTTTTTGTTTTTGTTTTGGTCTCTCTTCTAGTCTAGCTTCTATTCAGTTTAATTTTTACGGAGTATTTAACTATTTTAGTGCCCAGGAAGTATAACAAATAATTGTATTATTTATAGAATAATGTTTAACGTGAGAATGTCACAATTATCTTAATGTGATGCACAATAATTGTACTTTTTTGCGTTGTCATAATATTTACCAAAATATCACCGTGTTTATTTAATAAGACTTAATTTGAGCAAGGTTAAACATGTGCAACAGAAGAGCTCCATTATGCACAACATTAATTTAAATGTGATTGTTCTCACGTTGACACGCTAAGTATCGTTCTTATTGGAACCGCACCACATATTCATAATCTTATACTTCTCCATGTTTGATAGTTATAATTATCATTTATCTTTTTTGAGGAGTATGAATTAACGCAAATTTAAAAGTTTAGCTGTATTGAATATGGATATTTATAAATTTAGAAAAATGGACATATAAATTTTAAAATTTTCATTTCTTTTTGTGGAATCATAAGATTGTGGATGATTGGATTCTTATAAACTTTTAATTCATTGTTACTTAGATCCATTTGTGAAAACTATGAGGATCACACAGTGTAAGAGTCCTGCTTCGAGACCCAAAACACGGTACTAGTATTTAGATCATAGGGGTCTGTCTTAGTATTAGCATGTGAACGGCGGAAGAGGATAATATGGAAGATAATTTTTTTCACATATCAATAAACAAAGTCAATGTATGTAACTATCTAATAAACTTGCCTAACAAACTGTTATAAGGAATATTATGCTATATGCGCCTCTACATTGCTTGCATGTGGTTGCATGTATCATGCATACGTTAATACCCTCCCTCAGGCTGGATCGTAAATCGAATGAAGACCAAGCTTGGAGATGCTACGTTGAAACATTGCTAGATGTAAAGCTTTGGTGAAGGAATCTGCTACTTTGATTTTCTGAAGGAACAAAGAAGAGCTTGATTAATCCTTCATCAACTTTAATCCTTATGAAATTAAATGGCAATCTACTTCAACATGCTTCGTTCGTTCATGAAATGATGCATGGGTTTTTAGCAAGCTGAATAGTTGATTGGCTATCACTGTAGACACAAAATGGAAGTGAAGTCTCGATGTTCATGTCTTTTAGTAAAAACTGTAGCCATTGTAATTCACGGCTTAATGACGTTGAAGATTTGTAATCTGCCTCAGGAGATGATCGAGAAACGGTGCTTTGTTTCTTTGATTTCCATTAAATAAGGGAACTCCCAAGAAAAATACAAATCTGTAATAGATTTTCTTGTGGTATGACAAGTGGTTCAATCCGAATCAGAGAAGGCTTGAATGTTGAGAGTACTTGTTGATGAGTAAAGTAGTCCAAGATTGGAAGATGTCTTCAAGTATTTGAGAATTCTTAATGTTGCATTGAAGTGTACATCTCTAGAATCAGAAACAAACTGACTAAGGTGTTGGACTGCAAATGAGATGTCTAGTCTGGTATTGGTAAGATATATTAGTCTTCCAATAAACCTGTGAAATGAAGTAGGATTGCTGAGTGGTGTACCGGAATTAGGAGTAAGCTTGTTTGAAGGATCTAGTGGTGTTGATAGGTCTACCAACAGGTCGGATACGGGCCAGAGCTATAAATTCCATATTCGTTGAAAATATTTTGGTTCAGATCCTGACCCATTTACCCTTTTGGTCCAGATCCTGACCCATTAGCAAAAATCCCATTATAGTGGGTCAACCACTAACTAAGGCTAATATATAAATCACATAGAAAACATATTATATATTTGATTATTTTCCTTATTTTATGCTTAAATATTTCTATGTATATCGTGTGCGTGTAAATTTTTTTTGACTATAATTATATCATCACAAGTCGGGTCCAAAACGTGTCGGAACTTAAAAATCCATATCCGACCCATTTTCTCTTTTATGTAACGCGTCCGAATTCGGATCCGGGAAATGGTACTAAATTTAGACCCATACCCTCAAATAAAGTGTCGGATTCGGATCGGTCCGGGTATAGACTCGACCCATTGACAGACCTAGGTGTTGAAACAGGTCTGTAACTTGTGAGACCAAACTCATATATGAGTTCTAAACAGTACTTTCTTTGATTGATGACTAATCCTTTCTTAAAACGTGCAACTTCTAGTCCAAGAAAGTATTTTAGATTCCCTATCTCCTTAATATGAAACAAAGTATTCAAATATCTCTTGACATGTGTGATCTCATTAAGATCATTTCCACTGATGATGATGATATCATCTACATAGATGAGTAAGAATGTAAAATTGGAAGCAGATTGTTTGAAGAAAAGAGAATAATATGTTGACCTCTTGTGGTACCCGAATAAGGGCACAAGTTAATTTTTGGTTCCATTGCTTGTTTGTTTGTTTGTTTGAGACCATATAAGGATTTGTGTAATTTACATACAAGATCAGACTTGGATGATAGAAGTCCTGGTTGGGGAGTCATATAGACGTCTTCAGTTAAAAGTCCATATAGGAATGCATTATCAATGTCAAGTTGTTGAAGATACCAATTGTTGATGGATGTTATGGATAATAGTAAACCGAGAGTACTCAACTTGACAACAGGAGAGTATATTTCAAAAAAAGTCAATACACTCAATTTGTGCAAAACCTTTGGCTACTAAACATACTTCAGATCCATTAGGCTTGAACTTGACTTTATAAACCCATTTACAACCCACAGTGTGTTTGCCTGTAGGTAATCTAACTAAAGACTAAGTTTGGTTATCCTGAAGGGATTTTAGTTCATTTGTCATGGCATTTCTCCAACATATATTCATGTTGGATGGCTTGTTTGAAAGATTTTGATTCAATGTGAGTGAATATGGCATTGTAGAAATTCACATGATTCTTGGCACCATGAGAATGTATGACTCAAGTTTATATGGGGTAGAAGCAGAAGTTTTGGATGTACGACAATAGTATGAGCTGAGATGTCCAGGAGGTTTTCTAGTTCTGGTGATGGAAGAAGTGTTGGAATTTGAGTTAGGGTCAATGAAGACATGGAACAATTGGTTGGACTGTTTTCAAAGTTGTAGTCATACGAAATGGATTCATTTGAATGTTGAAAGGGGAAGTCAGCTTCACCGAAAACATCTCTGGAGATAAAGATGTTTTGATGATGAAGATCATAAAGAATCAAACCTTTTTGTGCATGTTTTAAAACCAAGAAAGATGCATTTATTTGCTCTTTTGTCCAATTTAGTTCTATTTATTGATAAAGTACTAGAATAGGCAAGGCAACCAAAAGGTTTTAGAAGATGAGATTAGGTTTGGATTAATGAATTATTTCAAAGGGAGAATTTTGATGTAAAACACGAGTTGCTAACATGTTGATTATATGAGTAGCATGTGTTGGAAAAATGTGTTGAAATTGCATTAAATGGTAATTTTGGTCCAATTTTTTGAGTGGGGTCCACTTCCGATTTGGGTCTGGTCAAAGTGGTTTCGGATTGTCCTTGCTTAGGGCTACAATTCGATATGTGGTACGCTCAAAACGGATAACGGGTGAATGAGAAATTAATTCTCGAAGTTTACCCGTTAGAATGGAAAAACTGGGAAAAAAGGATGAGTTTCTAGTGTGTTATTTCCCACACCGGAAAACCCAAGGGATTTGCAACCCTTTATAAAGGGACTCCCCCCTTAAGGAGTTAAGATTCTTTAGAGTAAAGGCTCTCTCCACACGCGCATGGGGGGTGCAAATCAAATCCCAAAATCGGAGAAGAAAAACCGCGACTTCCGTGCGCGGGCGACCTGCAGACACAAATGTCATCCAAAAATCTATCTCTCAAGAGATACGGTTAACTGCGCGGGCGACTGCGTAGGGGGGGGGGGGGGTTGCAACTCTCAAGGGGTGTTCTGTTGGCTTCGGACAGAACCCCTCGTAGGGTGTTCTGATCTGTTGGGGGGTCTTCTGGTCGCGCAGCTGGACGTTCTGAACCGTTACAACAATAAATGCCCAACGTTCTTATCTTTTAATGCAGCGTTAAATGGACAGTTTATGGACGTTTCAATGCCCAACGGACTGTTCATTGATGTCCAACGTTCAGGTCCATTAATTCACCATTTACACACAACAAATCTTCCTATATAATGTCTGGCAGGTGGTTTACAACGACACACATTCTTACATACACGAGCTCACGTATTTCTTCAGCTAAAAACACCTCCAGCATTCCGAAAATTTCCTAAGTGTTCATACTGTGTTCTCGTTCGCTGGAACTCTTGTTTGTGTGCTCAAACATTAGTTCAAAGTCATCGTATCCTGGAAAACGATTGTTGCAACGCTCCTAGCACCGTGGGAGGCAACAAATACGTTTTAAGGACATCGTGTGTAACACGAGCTTTGACTAATTTCTGCTCCATCTTATTTCTGTTTTCTTTCGTCATTTTAATTAATTATTTTTAATTACATTTCGTTATTTTCCGAAACACACCCAACAATCTTAAAACGTATTTGGTTGCTGCTCGGAGATTGTTATACCGAGGTATACAATCTTAAAACGTATTTGTTTTGCTAAGCTTGTATCATACGGATACAATCTTAAAACGTAGTTTGTCACTTTTGTGAACGAACTTAAAACCTTTTTGTGTTTTCGGAAAAACGTTAAGAAAACAAAAATGGCTTCTCAAGAAAATCAGAATGTTGTTGGGCAGAATGTGTCGAACGATAATCTCTCTGAAAGCGGAGCTCCGGCGAACAATAGTTCACAACGCGGTGCATCTTCTTTGGGCAACCAAGGGGCAATCCCTATGGTTACCGTGCCAAGCAATTCTGTGGAGAAACCCGAGAAACTCAATGGGTTAAACTTCAAGAGGTGGCAGCAAAAAATGCTATTTTATCTCACTACTCTCGGTCTTGCACGTTTCTTGACCGAGGACGTGCCGGTTGTAACCGGGAGTGAGGTGGATGTGCAATCTCTCAACGCGGTTGAGGCATGGAAGCATTCTGACTTCCTTTGCCGAAACTATGTGTTGAACGGGATGCATGATGCTTTGTACGACGTGTATAGCAAATTAGCTACGGCT